TGCGTTTCCTCCTCTTGAGGTCGCCACTGCTTTTATGAAGAGGTTGCCAGGTTTTCACAACAAAACCCACCGAATTGCGTTTCGAGGGGGTCCCCGTTAAAAATCGCGTTCCGGGGATAAAATACGCGAGTTTTGGCGGGGTTCCCCTGGTAATATTCGCATTCCAGGGGCTAAATATCACGTTAATGCACCGTAACGTTTTCATTTTTTTAGTACCGACTTCGTACCGAAATACGGGGTCTTTTGACTACACTAATTGAGACTTTTGGACTTATTGTTTCACTGAAATAAATGTTTTTGTAATTATAGAGTAAAGTACCGCTATTATATAGCCGTTGATTATCCCACTTATTCCATGGTCATTTGCCAAGTTATAGACAAGATAAAACTACTATTGTTCTTTGCAATGCAATATTTGACCGAATGGGTAAAAATGACGGTTATTTCGTCAGTTACGGCTCATTAGCTCTAGCATTCTGCCCGCTTCAAATCAGACACAGAGATGAAATAGTGCAGTTAGATCACATTTATTTGAACGAATTATAGCACCCGCAGGTGATGGAGATTTACCGCTGATTACAGAACCGGATTTCTGACAAGATGCGAGTTAAATATCACATGCGATTTATCATGCAGCCCTACATTTATTTGAATTAATTATCGATCGTTTGATCGAGAGAGAGAAAGATGACAGTTGTGTATGTGAATTACCTGCGTCTGTACGTCTCTCTACAAACAATGAAGTTGTGAGTTTAGTTACTTAAACAGAGATTTTACCTCCTCGTTGTTGAGGAATATAATGCAGTGATCCAGCCTCGGGCAGCCACCGGCGGTCTTTCCACTTGTTCCTGCTGCCCGATCTCCTCAGCACCACGATCCCCCTCAGCAGCGAGGGCTCTCTGACAACGTGTCCCTCCTTCCTCCCGGGTTTCGGCACCAATGTAACACAGTTCGTAGTCACGGGAAGAAGGAGGCGGAACCGGCGAACATTTAAGATTTTAATAAAATAAACAAACACAAAATGAAAGTAAAGCGGCAGCCCCTCACGGACTACTGCCGTACACAAAACACAAAATAAAATTCAGGCCTGGTCCTCTCTCCCTTTCACTGTTGTAACTCCTCCTTTTATCCTTCCGGAGCTCCTCCGTGGGACTCGAGACCGGTGAGTGGTGCAGGTGTCTCTCATTATCAATTACTCCACCGGCCTCGCTCCGTTCCCACAGCTCTCGGCCCTGCCCCCACTCGTCACAATATTGTTATTTGTACACAGTTTTGCCTCAACTGTTTGTTTACACTGAAGCTGTTAAACAGTTTGCAACAATTGCATGCACTGGTGAGCAAATTGTGACCAGTTATAGTAATTAAAAAAAAATAAAAAATACGCAAAAAATATTCTGTTCACCCTGTTTGCAGTAGCCTTGCAGTGTGATCTTGCCTGGGGCTCTACAAAACATGTGCTCTTACCTCTGCTATATACTTCAAATCAATAGCAGAGACGCTGGGCAAAAGTCACTGATTTCCATTAGACTCGTACTTCCATGATATATTTCTTATGATAAGTGTTTTTTATGATATTGAATGTGTCAATGAATCATATGATTTCTACTTACATTTACACAAAAGTACTGTTGTGGTACAAAGGGAAGATTACAAATGGAAATACCATGGTATTTTGATGTATACCATGGTGATAAAAGATTACCATGATGATAAACCATGGTAATTTTAATGTACAAAAAAACAGTAACAACATATGCAGAAATGTTTGTAAGTTTACTTTGCTGTAAATAACACGCGTGCTGTAAAGAAAAAAAAATATATATAAAAAAGCTTCCACCGTCATACTCATTCTCATATTTTCATTTGCTTAAAATATCTTCACAATTGACTCATAGCTACAGCAAGAAAGCAACAGCTGCTATTTGTGCTAATTTTTTTATAACAGTGCTGGCAAGTAGCGCAGATACTTTTGAAACCAAGCTAATAGCAGGTGAAGTTAATGTGAAGGGCTAGTGTTTTCTCTCTTTTATGACATCTCAGAAGGCAGAGGAGGATAAGGAGGAGGCGCTTGGGATTTTGGAGTGGGATAATTATGGCGCATCAATACAATATCAGTGGCTAATGAAGGCACTAAGCTGATGTACAACACAGCAGGTTATTGTCACTCTGTGGACCCTCCCTGTAGCACAGAGGCCTGGAGTTATGAGAAGTTATGAGAGACGCTGGATAGAAGACATAATAGAAACTTAAATCACTCTCAAAGCTCCTTGTGGTAATTTAACAATCTGCCCACATCCTGTAGTAATTTTGCTGTGCTTGTTCGGGCCTTTTGATATCTCATGGCTCATTAGCTCAGTGGACTTCACTAAGTTTTAAACTATTTTTATAAGACTCTTCTCAAAAAAAATATGAGGAAAAAGATGAGGCCTGTGAGAAACTAATGCGAGACATATTTTTCTGGAAATGTGCAGGTGGGAGAAAGCAGTACAAGCAACAATAGCTCCCACCACCACAGGAAGAGAGTAAGTAATCATTAATGTCAACAAAACTGCCTGAACAAGAACAAAAACCTTATGTTGTGTGTGAAAATATATATTGTATGCTAAAATATCACTGCAGCAACACTTCTGAAATAGTCTGGACCTGCTGAAAGGACCAGTTAAAACCATCTTATTACAGTGGAATACTTGGTTCTGATTGGTCAGTCGTGCCATTCTGTGGTTAAATATATTTGTGTAATGGCCTCTAAAGTATATAATTTAGGGATGCACCGAATGTTCGGCAACCGAAATAAGCGAAAAGACCGAATAAATTGTGCCGAAAAATGATATGGCGCGATCAAATAGCAACCAGCGAAGAGCGAGAGGCGCGCACTCTTTAATGCAGCAAACATATCAGCAGTGTGGAAGCATTTAAAACTGTCTGAGAAAGACGCAAAAATCAGTACAAGCACCGACAGCGAGAGACTGTTTAGTACAGCAGCGCATGTTTTCGATGAGAAGAGGAAGGGGTGATTGTTGCTGGTTTACTGTATGATGATTGAAATCGCGAAATGGCCTTAAACAATTAGTACATAAACTGC